AAGACAGTGAGTTCTAGTTCCCCTTAGGCATGAAAGCCACTGGGTGGCTTTGGGCCAATCACCAGAAGACAGTGAGTTCTAGTTCCCCTTAGGCATGAAAGCCACTGGGTGGCTTTGGGCCAATCACCAGAAGACAGTGAGTTCTAGTTCCCCTTAGGCATGAAAGCCACTGGGTGACTTTGGGCCAATCACCAGGAGACGGTGAGTTCTAGTCCCACCTTAGCCATGAAAGCCAATTGGGTGACTTTGGGCCAGTCCCCCTCTCTCTCAGCCCAACCCACCTCACAGGGTTGTTGTTGTGGGGCAAACAACAAAAGGCGTGTTGAATATGTTCACTACCTTGAGTTATTTGTAAAAATAATAAAAGCAGGATACAAATAAATAAATACTACTCTGCAGGTTTACAACCTTCACCTTCTTCCTTCCATGTGTTTCAAGTTACTAACTGATTTGTATGTTTTCATCATATTTCTTTTATTTTTGACACATTTTTTTCTGGTTTGAGAATTACAGATTTTACAGATCCCCCCCTCCCCCGATACTGAGTTAGCTCCCTTCCAGCTACAGGCAAATATACAAATCTATTTTGCTTTTGATGTTTTCTAATCATTTCCTAATCCAATCCCTATTTTATACTGAAGAAATATGTCTTACTGACATCCGGATAAGGGTCTTACCTGAAACAAAGGAACATCTTGGGCCAAAAATTTAGCTAAGTTAACATCCAACAGAGCTCTGAGCAACAACACGCTTTCATTTTCTTCAGGATATTTTAGTTTCAAGTTCCCTGCTGCTGTCAGCACGGATTTGACCGCTCGCATCCCATAATCGTAATGATGTTGTGAGGACAGCTGTTCAGAGCAAAGGCGGTAAGTGGCAACAATTTTCTGGGCAAGGCTGCAAAAGATAAGAAGATGTTCTCATTCCTGAAGCCAGAAAATATCAAGCAGAGAAAGAAGGCTAAATATCTATATGCAGAAGAACAAGTGGCAGAGTCAAAGAGGCTTCAGTCTAGAATCTCCTCCTCCTCCTCCACCTCCTCCTCATCTTCCTCTTCCTCCTCCTCCTCCTCCTCCTCCTCTTCTTCTTCTTCTTCTTCTTCTTCTTCCTCCTCCTCCTCCTCCTCCTCCTCGTTGCAAAGTTGCGTCCGACCCATTGCAACCCCATGGACAACATGCCTCCAGGCCTTCCTGTCCTCTACCATCCTCTGGAGTCCATTTAAGCTCACGCTGACTGCTTCNGGAGGAGGAGGATGAAAAGGAGGAGGAGGAAGATGAAAAGGAGGAGGAGGAAGATGAAAAGGAAGAAGAGCGGGAAAGGAGCAGGAAGAGGAGGAAGATGAAAAGAGGAGAAAGAAGAGAAAAAAGTGTACAAGGAGGAGAAAAGAGAAGAGAGGAGAAGGAGAAGAGAGAGAGGAAAAGGAGGAGGAGAAAAGAAGAGGGAGGAGGAGGAGGAGGAGAAAGAGAAGGAGATTCCTGGTTCCTTTGGTACCTGCTTAGCCAAAGCTTTGGCAAGATCCTTAGTAGTTTCTGTTTTCCCAGTGCCGGCCGGTCCTTCGGGAGCTCCTCCTAGATTTAATTTCAAAGCTCCCATTAAAGTCCTACGACATAGAAATGAGATTATAGAGAGAAATCAATAGATACATAACTACACAAAGTCCCACCCTCATTCTCTCTTCACATAGACGTACACTGACATGTTATCCCAATCTTTGTGCGTGATTTATGGTGCCACATTATGTGTGAATCAGGCCATTACGCCATCTTCAACCTAAGCGTAATATAATGTGTGACTCCGGTCATTGGTGTCAGGGGGCGCAAGTGATTTCGTCACACAAATGTTATGACTGGTATTTAGTTCGTGATGCAAGAAACCTAATTTATATTGTTGAGGGAAATAAAGGGTCTCCTTGACTATTCCACACTATCTTTTAATAAGGAAATAATTCTATTGAATAGGGGACTAAATTAATGCACTTTTATCCAAGAAACAAATTCTACAAGAAATCTAAATTTCACTGCTTGAATTCAAAAATACAATTTTGCTTCCTGCCCTGATTCTCCCCACTCCATCAAATCTGTCAGAGTTTTGGGAGTGTGACTATTATTATGAGATAAACCCAGGAGCAAAGCACAGTACACAGAGCCTTTAGACAATTAATAGTGGTTTATATATACAGACATACGTACAGACATACACATCGTAGATAAATCCCTTACCGCTAGCTATGGACACAAGGAGAGAAATGAGATATATGAGGAGAGAGAGAGAGAGACGTCCTCTAATGACCACACACACGCACACACCCACACACATACACACATGTATTGCTGATTCATCCCCATTGCATCAACTTACAGTTTACAGCTTACAACCTTACATCAGCTGGCAGCTATTAAATCCTCAGTACCTGATAAAATCAACGCTTTTACTATCCTTAGATCTATAAATATTTTATCAAAGATTTTAAAATTGGGGAGGAATTTTACCTGTAGCATCGGTCTGTCAGCGGAGTTATCACCAAACGTAACGAGTTGCCCAGGTATTCATATCCGTACTTGGCTTCGGTTGTGATCATTCGGACCATTACATCTCTGTTTTCCCAGTAGTATCGCAGCTGAGAAATCCACTGGAAATCGTTCAGATCTGAAACTCGGTCATGAGACAATTTTGCCACCACGTCGCGGGCTGCAGACGCAAAATTTTACTTGGAATAAGTAAACATTCGTCTGTTGTACTTAAACTACACGGTGGTTG